AATTCTCTCAATGCAGACGAGTGGACATAAGGCATCTGTTGTGTGTAAACAAGAGAATTGTTTAGCGTTGTGTTGGGTCTTGAAGGATACCAGGGAACAGTCATTGTTTGGTCAGCCTATGTTAAATGACCAGTGTCAGAATGATCAGGCGGTCCTGTACATATAGTATGTCAAGCTATTGGCTGAGCTATGATACCTTCTGACATAAGGGGTCCAGGTCCACTGAGGCACTGCAATTGCTCAGTTGCCTCCCATAGGCATGTCAGGATCCTAAGATAGTGGCTTCAAATGCCTGATTCACCGTGATTATTATCTAATGTGTCAGCACCATACCTGTACTTGAGGGTTTGAATATGCAAGCAAGGATCCAGCTTTTTGGAAAAGGAGGTGTGAATTTGTGCTTTCGCAATTTACGATTTGTACGTTTGTCATTTTATTGAAAATAAGTTTTGTTTGTTTGTTGTTTAATGCCGCACTCAGCAATATTCCAGCTATGTGACGGTGGTCTGTAAAAAATCTAGTCTGGACAAGACGATCCAGTGACTGATATGAGCATCGATCCACACAATTGGGATCGATGACATGCATCAACCAAGTCAGCAAGCCTGACCACCCGATCCTGTTAGTCGCCTCTTATGACAAGCATAGTAACCTTTTACGGCAAGTATGGGTTGCTGAAGACCAATTCTACCTCGGATCTTCACGGGTCTGAAAATAAGTCATCAAATAGGGAGACATAGTGTCGTCATACTTTTACCTCTTGGCCCAGTAACTTCATATGCTTCAATCTATGATTCGGAAATATTCAAATATTCAGGTTATCTGAACTTCATCGCTCTATTTTTCTGTAGGTGCCTTGCTCAGTCATTTTGGATTATTGTCACAGTGTCTGTCAAATGTATTTAACGGCCAAAGTCGTGATTGTGAACTTGAGCTGATAATGGAATAAGCGATTTAGCTTTTCAACCATGGCATTTTGGATCCCAACGTTACTGTGCAAGACTTTTTGATATTGGTGATGGATGTGGTGATTGAAATTAGATTCTGATATTTCTCCGCAGATCAAGGCATCCATTGATTCTTGACAGGTTTTGTGGGGGTGTACTTGTGGCATGCAATTTGAAAAACAGTCTACAATTTCAGAGAAATTGAAGATTTTAGTCTTGTCCATTACATGTCATTGTCTGCTCCCCTGGACATTTTGGAAGTGGTGCGCATAATCCGATAATCATGTAACTAGACCCATCAGTCAAATGCAGCTTCTTACACAATGGACATGTGGGGTTTCCAGGCAAGACTGTGTTCTCAGTAACTCATTTTCTTAAGTGGCTGCAGAATTGGGGATTGAATGACCACAATGTAGTGGGTGGATGAGTGTTCGTGATTGCTGATTGAACATGGTGAAGGACTGTAAACCCAGCCACCAAAGGACAAAAATCCTTGTCAGTGTTTGTCATTACCCTGATGTTAAAGATTTGGGTGGTCCTGAGATTCAAGACTGTAGGAGCAAGCCTCAAAAGACATAGGCTCCCCTCAGTTTCATACTGTTTGTGTGATGAAGCTCTCATTGAGGCAAAAGCCTGAAGGTATTTGGCTGTAAAATGTAATATGTGTAATGGATATTGAATAATCAGGGTTAAACATTTTGATTGGCTAATTATTTTGAATGGTATTCTTGACTGATAATGGACTAAGTAATTTATGAATCCACTAGTTTTCTCTGTTTGGTGAGATAAACAGGATATGCTTTTACTGAACACCTTCCAAACTGTTGTCAATCAACTATTGGGTTATAGATTGAAAGACATTTGTCTAGCATATGTATGGCTACGATTATCTTGACACTAGTGTGACACAGAGACTCACGTCTGTCATAGAGCTACAAGTGCCCAGTCCACTAGCTGCCTTCTTGTCTGTGATGGGGGAGGGGGCATAGGTGACCAAGTCACCTGAGGTGGCACATCCCTTAGATGGCCTATAACCTTAACTAATGATCCTGTGTTTGCCCTGATGATGTTTGTAGATTTGTGAGCATAATACCTGTGCTTGTGGGTTTCACCAAGTGGTAAATGTCGAAGACCTGTATCACTTCGGGCTTTACTCCTCCATAAAGCTGACACACTGTGATGTAACTGAAATAGTTTCTTTATATGGTGGTATATGAAAAGTGTGAATGGGGATGAAAGTCTAATAGTTTCTTTATATGGTGGTATATGAAAAGTGTGAATGGGGATGAAAGTCAAATAGTTTCTTTATATGGTGGTATATGAAAAGTGTGAATGGGGATGAAAGTCTAATAGTTTCTTTATATGGTGGTATATGAAAAGTGTGAATGGGGATGAAAGTCTAATAGTTTCTTTATATGGTGGTATATGAAAAGTGTGAATGGGGATGAAAGTCTAATAGTTTCTTTATATGGTGGTACAGTCCTGCCCCGCTTATACGGACTTCAGATATCCGGAAACCTCGGTTCCCGGACGATTTTCATTCAAAACGAAATAATTGCTATATATATTTACCCGTATATACGGAAATTCAGTTTCCGGAACCGGACGGTCATTTTTATACACAACACACTGAAATGCACACAAAATTGTCTCACTTATCCGGACAATACACTTCTGCTTGTTGTTATCCTTTGATTCGTGAGAAGTCAATTAACCAAGTGACACTGAGTTACGTTTGAGACGAGCTTGTTTATTGTACATGTAATCCCCTTCGATAAATATGGCATCTGTGGAGGTCAGAGGTCAAAGTTGTGTAAGTATGGCCTGTCAACCAGCGAAAACGTAAGCGACACGCAGTTACAGCACACGAAAAAAGGGAAATTTGTCTGTTTAAGGAAAAACACCTGTCAGCAAGTTTAGAAACCATCAGTTAGCATTATGGCACTGAATTTGGACATACCATAGAAAAATCAACAATTGGTGACATTTTAAAAGACAAACAGAAGTGGCTAAATCTCCCTGAAAATTCAAATGACTTATCACGATCCCGTGTAGCAAAACACCAGAAAAGTGTGAATGGTGATGAAAGTCTAATAGTTTCTTTATATGGTGGTATATGAAAAGTGTGAATGGTGATGAAAGTCTAATAGTTTCTTTATATGGTGGTATATGAAAAGTGTGAATGGGGATGAAAGTCTAATAGTTTCTTTATATAGTGGTATATGAAAAGTGTGAATGGGGATGAAAGTCTAATAGTTTCTTTATATGGTAGTATATGAAAAGTGTGAATAGGGATGAAAGTCTAATAGTTTCTTTATATGGTAGTATATGAAAAGTGTGAATAGGGATGAAAGTCTAATAGTTTCTTTATATAGTGGTATATGAAAAGTGTGAATGGGGATGAAAGTCTAATAGTTTCTTTATATAGTGGTATATGAAAAGTGTGAATGGGGATGAAAGTCTAATAGTTTCTTTATATGGTAGTATATGAAAAGTGTGAATAGGGATGAAAGTCTAATAGTTTCTTTATATGGTAGTATATGAAAAGTGTGAATAGGGATGAAAGTCTAATAGTTTCTTTATATAGTGGTATATGAAAAGTGTGAATGGGGATGAAAGTCTAATAGTTTCTTTATATAGTGGTATATGAAAAGTGTGAATGGGGATGAAAGTCTAATAGTTTCTTTATATGGTAGTATATGAAAAGTGTGAATAGGGATGAAAGTCTAATAGTTTCTTTATATGGTGGTATATGAAAAGTGTGGTGCATTTTTTGCAATCAATAAGGCAAACTGTTAACTCACTTACTGATATGTATGGCTTTCATTCGTACCCTCCTCCAATAAATGCATTTGCTAGTGTAAGCTCCATAAATATCATATCAACACAGATATGTATCTTTTTGAGGTAAAAAATAGAGGATATCTCCAGCACAGTTTGGATGTAGCTGGCATAGATTGATTGATTGAGTGAGTGAGTTGGTTTTAACGCCGCTTTTAACAGTATTCCAGTCATATCGCGGCGTGTCAGCTTAATGTGGGAGGAAAGCCCGAAGTGATGCAGGTCTCAGAGATGGTGCTGACAAACCTAGAAACATAATTGGGGCGAACCGGGATTCGAACCCACAACCCTTGGCGTGCCCAAGGGACGCAACTCTGCACACCAAATCGCGGTGCCTTAGACGACTGGGCCACCCATGCCCCCATAGATTGATTGAACTTGAGAGACACAGGAACATACCTTGAGAAATGGGAATTGTGAACAATATTTATGAAATACAGTTAAAGATGAATACTGTCTTGGTTTGTGATAGACAGTGCTAAATATGACTTTTTAAGAAGTCAGTACCCTGGTATATAGGTCGACAGTTTCTTGTGAATCCTACTTTAGATAGATTTACATTTATATCTGTTCACAGTAGGTGTATGATGAAATTTGTACATGTTTATATATCATGCTGTGTTGCTAAAGACCTGATTTGGTAAGTTAACAATCATTTTGAAAATCATCTTGGCTAGGGCTGGGACGAGTCCAAATTTACTACCCGGGTACCCATTCCAGGTCTCAGGAGATGTCTCAAAATGTCTGATTGGGAACTTTTTTAGCATAGCCCGGGCAAAACGTATTTGGATACATGTATTAAACAATCTGGTCATGCATACACTGAAGTTGACTTAAGTTATATGTTTATTCAACCATATGAAAAGTCAGAAGGAATGGTGCATAGTCAGAAAGCAAAGCGAACATTAATGTTTTGTAGTGTAACCATAGAGTGCCAGATAATTTTAGTCATTAGACAATATATCACGTGACTAACCACGGGTCTGGGTAGTCCTGTGGGTACCCGGGTCCTACTCAGTACCCACCCGGCCCGGGTACCCGATTTACCCGTCCCAGCCCTAATCTTGGCCTTATAATACTGAAATAGATCCTTCCAGTGATTGCTTGAGACAAATATGAGACATTTTTATGTTTTTGGCAAATTTTGACAGGATATTTCTCTATAGTTTTACTAAAATTAAAATAAATATCATTTGGACATGTAGTATAACAATCAGTCAATGTTTCAGAATATGAACAGATGAAACTGTCTTTATTCATAAATTATGCCCCAAGATTGGATATTTTCAACTTTTTAAAGTTGAGCATGTTGACGAGGGCTTGGAGCATGTGGTAAGATGAGCATCTGCCACTCACATCCATCACTGTTCCGAGATGTTGCAGCAATCAATAACTTTAAAGCTTTCATTATTATAACTACTTCTGTTGGGGGTTAAGTTACAATGTGATAATCCCCATCGCTTGTCAGTAATGACGACTCTCGAGGACCTATGCATTGTAATCAGTTTTAGAAAGGATGTTCAAATAGAAGGCCAGTTTGGAAAAAAACCCTCCAAAGGTTTATTTGTAGTTTGACTTGCGGGAATGATTTTGTGCAGGGTTGTGCAGGCTTGTTGAGTTGGCTAAATGTATTGACCAGTTCGTTGCATGACAAACACTGTGTGCAGTTGAGAGGTATTTCTGGTAGCAGTCGTGATACAAATCTAGCCGAAACAGTTGGATTCAGCAAAGTTCTTGCAGGACAGGTGGATAAGGTTTGGAGAGTGTTTTCAAGCTGGTTGTTGTTTTGGTAGTAGCACTGACATGAGTTGAGAATTGGTCCGGCATCATGGATGGCGGGTCACCGTTCCGGCGCCTCAGCTTCCTGTCTGGAGACGTGAGACCCAAAACTACAGCTGGTTGGTAAGTTTGAGATGTAACTGAAGACATGCTGTTTATTAGTTTCTGTTTTATCCTGCTATTTTCATTCTGTTTGAATACATTTGTTCAAAGTTTTAGAACTGGTGAGTTGTTTTAGGTCTGAAGCTAGGTGTTGTGTATAATTGCAAGACTATAGAAGTAGTCCTTAAACAAGATTATCATGTTAATGGATACAAAGTTTTCTGCATGAATTAGCATTAGTAACATACAGTTTAATTTTCTTCAGTAGAAAATCTTACCAATGTCAGATATTTCAGTCACCCTTTGTTTAAGAATACTAGCATACTGGCAGTTTGTTACCAGACTTCATAACAATGGTAGTGTGCTATATGTTTTCATTAAGTATAAATCAGTGTTTGAAATCAAGGGTCCTTGGTGTTTGCTGGTATGGTCATAATGGTATTTGAATCCAGGGACCCCATCAATCTCTAACATGCATTATGACAAGGAAATGCTGAATTTTGAACACAGAATATTGTAAATTTCTAAGAACATCCTGCTTATCGTGGTTATGTAGTGTTGGTATTGTCAATTGTGATGCCTCGGTTATAATGATTAAATTTATGTTTGGTAGTATTCAAAATGAAGCGTCCAAGTCAAGGAGTCCTTGACATCAGCCTAATGTGAAAGATGTACGATTTGAGGGATTCCTAGATTCAGATGACTACAGCAGCAAACCTCTACCTCCCCAGTATCTCCATTAAGTTCTAACACTGGGCCCCATTACACAAAGCGATCGTAGAGCTATGACTGTCAAAGGTCTATGTTAAAGTATGGGAGTTACGATCGCCTTAGTGCTATGACTGTCGTAACTCTATGTTAAAGTATGGGATTTATGATCACCTTAGCGTTATGACTGTCGTAAATCTATGTTAAAGTAGGGGAGTTACGATCACTTTAGTGTTATGATCACCTTAGCGTTACGACTGTCATAACTCTATGTTAAAGTATGGGAGTTATGATCACCTTAGCGTTACGACTGTCGTAAATCTATGTTAAAGTAGGGGAGTTACGATCACCTTAGCATTATGACTGTCGTAACTCTATGTTAAAGTAGGTGAGTTACGATCACCTTAGCGCTATGACTGTCGTAACTCTATGTTAAAGTAGGGGAGTTACGATCACCTTAGCACTAAGACTGTCGTAAATCTATGTTAAAGTATGGGAGTTACAATCACCTTAGTGCTACGACAGTCGTAAATCTATGTTAAAGTATGGTAGTTTCAATCACCTTAGCGCAATGATCGCATTGTGGAATGGGGCCTTGGCCAGTTATATAATTTGTAATGAAATATGCAACAAACCAGACCTCTGGTCGAGCCTTAGAAATGTCATTCCTTAAAAGACTAGTCCCAAGTAGAGCTGGGACGAGTCCAAATTTACTACCCGGGTACCCGAACCCCTTTTACCCAACCCTACCCGGGGTCCCACTGCAAGGCTCAAGAGTAGGGAACAAAATGTCTGATTGGTAATTGTTTTACAACCCAGGCTAAAACTATTTAGATACATGTATCAAACAATCAGATCATGCGTTCACTGAAGTTGACTGAAGCTTTATCTTTACTCAAACATATACAAGTCAAAAGGAATGTGTGCATCGTCAGGAAGCGTTGTGAACATTGGCGACTTTTAGTGTAACCACTGAGCTATAGTGGGTTGTAGTCATTAAACAATATATCACGTGACTAACCACAGGACCAGGTAGTCCTGTGGGTACACAGGTCCTACTCAGGACCCACCCGACCCGAGTACCCGAGTTACCTGTCCCAGCCCTAGTCCCAAGTACCGTACTTGTGGAAACTTTCACCAGTTTGTTGCTAGACCTGCTTGAATAAGACTAATCTGTTTACTGTTTACATTTTCTGTCAGTTTTATTCACTTCCAACTTGTAGCAATATTGAAGCATTGAGAACTAGTTCAGGAATATGGCCCTCAATGCTACAAGGTAGGACTACCATCACTGGACTTTGACTTGTCCTCAGTACAATTTAGCAGTCTCGGGCTAGTGGACTAGCTTGAATTTCGAAGGCTGTGGTCAAGCTTGTCAGCTTTCAGATATGTTGGAATGATAATTGTTACAATTACATTCTTGGCTTATCACTGGTTACACATGGTCATTTGTGCATATTTAAGTACATAATGTACAGTGAAGCACTTAGTCTCGTTGTGCTTGAGACCGCTGAAATGTATGTGTAGGTTAGACCACTGGGATCTGGTGTTTATATAAATGTTGAAATGGTCAGTTAAAGTCTTAGGCTGACCATTTCAACAATTAGACATCGGCTCCTCATGGTCTAACCTGTTTAAACCATGGCCATCATTCAAAATATGTTAGCACCTAAAATATGTTTAATAACATTGTTTTGATATCCGTAATTAAAAAGACATTACAATAACTCTATGCATTACTGTAAGAACACCCCTCACTTTTTGGCGATATGGATTATGACATCCTTATCCTTCCCAATAGCCTCATGGTTTTGTGCAGTCGTGAGTCGTGAGTCGTGGCATGATGTGCGGTTCAATAACAAGTAATCTTGCATATAAATACCTGTATTGGATTTTATAAACCATTTATACACACCAATATATATACACTTGATGTGACGCTGATCAAATATTGGGATGCTGATTGATATCCAATCAGCTGCACGCTACATGATGATTACAATAATTATTGGATACTGCCGTAGTGAAAAGAATTATGAATTGACCTCAATATATTTTTTGCGTTAATAGAGGTATAAACATAAAAGCGATGTGCACACTGTATAAAACCGGCTCAGCATTATGTTCCAAACTGTTTCTTTAGTTAAGTAGTGACATAGAAGTGTGGCCTATTGGATAGGGACAACGTCATGGTAATGTTCGAGAATGTCCTATCCCTGTTGGTGACTCTCTCTAGCACAACATCTATGATCCAGTCATTTGTGATCCAAATGTTCACTAGTGTATAACTTAACCTTTTGTTTGCAGAATTTCTGACACTTCTTAGTCAGCCTGCCTTGTTCCAGCATATGGTGCTGTAAAGATGGTGGTTGATTTCAAACTTTAGAGACTTTGATGGAACAAATGATGGAATATTTTGTACTTTTATTTCTCGAGGAATAAAACACAAAATAATCTAAAAATATTCTCAAAATTACAAACTTACAGCGGTTGAGACAAAGAATCCAAACGTAAATTTTCTTGAATTTACCTGAACTGTTGAAACTCATTTTAACATTTGAGTCAATGGAGAATGTCCATGTGGCTTTCAAATGTCAAGGCCAGGGGAAGTGATTGACTGCTGTCTAAATGCCTGAATCAAAACATTGCTAAAACAGCATATTCAGTTTTAAGCATGGAGCCCCTGCAAGTGTTTATTATGTGATTTTTTATATATGATCCTGGTCAAGGCACCCTGACAGTTGGGGAGGTCAGACTCAGTGACTTGCGTGTCATTGTACCAAAACAGCGTGGACTTTGCTCATTGTATCAACCACTGGTTGTCTTCTCCAAACTCGACTATTTACAGGCCAGCATTGTATAGCTAAACAAGCAAGCGTTATGTGGCTAATCCTCTGACTGCACTCCAATAAATGTATGATGGCCCATGAGGTATGTGTAGAGCTGGGTATTAGAGTCCTGTAAATGTCATGTGGGCTGTAATCAAGTCAACTGGTATTAAGCATTATGGTTGTGGTAAGTAATTGGCTGTAGTGATAATCTCTTAAATTCCTGATGGTGATTAATGACCTGTCTACCTCATCTCATAGCAACTGAGTTGTCACAACATTAACTACAGACACACTGGTATGACATTTTCTAGGGAGCAGTTTTAGAGTTTAATTAAGAATTGACTTTCACTTTGTGTAAGTTCATCAACGTCAAATTGTGTGGTTCATACACTTATGAACGTCAAATTGTGTCGTTCATACACTTAAGACGTACATCGTGTAAACGTCAAATTAAAAAATTATTCTTAAATATATAAAATGGATTCTTTGAGTTTTGAGACATCCGCCTGAAAACTGAATTGTGAAAATGTTGACATCTCCAAACATTTTTGCCTCAATCGAAAAGGCCACTTATGTCGTATTTCAGTACTTTTAAGTTGGGGTCATTTGGGTTGGGGGTTGGGGTGAGTTGGGGTTGTGTACGAGGGAGCCCATGATACTAGGTCTCTGGCACACCTAAGGGCTGCAACTCTGTACTTCAAATTGTGGCACCTAAGACTGGGCAGAGCAGAAAATATTCAAGATTTTATGTCTATTGAAAAAAGGAATTTCCACATTGGACAAGGAGACTGAGATAAATGCTGATAATGTTAATTCTATTTCTAGCTATAGATATACACAGATGAAGAGATATATGGCCATTTCGTGACTGGAAGTTGACACAAAGTTTACCACATGAGTGAATCTATAAATTCTTCCTAAGAATGAGTATGTCTGTTTGTACAGTAAACAACCTGTTTCACTTCAGTAAACAAGTTTCATATTTGAACATCCTTATTTAGGGGTTGAAAAATTAAACATGCAGTCAAAAACTTGCTCAAATATGGAGGGAGACATCAGACCCAGTGCTTCCAGGTCCTGACTTTTATCAACACTCAGCCATGTGGAGATCCATGTTTAGAATAGGTCCCCAGCAAGCTATGCTTGTCGTATGGGGGCATCGAATTAGATCAAGCTGTCAGTTTTGTATTACTTGTTGTTTTACGCCGTACTCAGCAATGTTCCAGGCTGACATCATATAGCTGGAGTATTGCTGAGTGCTGCTTTATGTAACAAACAAATATCAATACTGAGATATAGAAGCCTTTCTCTTAGTTATATTTCTATGTCTTCTTATTTGTATGGCTGAGGACCGCCTCCGTTGTCTGGTAGAGCGTCCGCCCGGAGAGCGGAAGGTCCGGGGTTCGATCCCCAGCCGCGTCATACCAGAAGACGTTAAAAGATGGTACTTGTTGTTACCCTGTCTGGCGCTCAGAATTAAGG